TCAGAATTTTCAGCTAAATGATGCTTTTTTATCTGTGACTTAATGGTACACTGGGGTGAAATAAAATCTTAGTTCAAATGTTTGTTTATCATGGGTGAGTTTGAATTTATTTCAATTTAAATGAAGAAACTTTTGCCTGGGTCATAAGCTGAATATAAAATCAATTAGAATAGGAACATCATTTGTTTTAATGTGATCTTTTGATTGAATTTTAATTAGTATGAAATTTGTGAAAGTCCCTTGTTTTGATATGTATCTGATTCTGTATGAGTGAGTTTATTAATATGTAATGCTTGTGATGTCTACCGGCAAAAGTAGCTAGCGTGTTTACGTAAAACCGTTTGGATTTGTCTTATCTTTTATGTCTACCTAATTCCTTTTTATTACAATGTTTGATATTAATATTTAATTAGGCTTTTTTATCTTATCATGTATCACTTATGTAGGTCCTTTGAATTTCTATGATAATTGTTTTTTTTAATAATTAATTTTAGGTTCTTTAATGTGAATTTTAGAAATTTTAATGTTAAATATTTTTGTAAACTTTAATTTAGACCGATTAAAATTTATTAACTTCGAATTGTTCCTAATTAGATCAATTCAAATCATCGAATATTTTCATAATTACTTAAACGAAGAGAGAGAGGCGAACCTTCGATTCACTCTCCCGAATATTTGGACTAGAGCCTTCGAACCCTCTTTTCGATTGTTTGAGTGTGAGGAGTCTTCTTCACACTCGAACAATCGACTTTTCTAAAAAAGCACTTAAACCATTCCACAAACGCAAACTCAAATCTCGATTCATATCGAGCATTTTCTTCAAATAAAACTAAAACAATTAATAATTATGAAAAACTTTTTTTAATAAAAGATGAAAAGAGAGTTGAACTGGTATTTTCGAGTTCTCTCTTTTGATTGTTTAAGTGTGAGGATTCTTCTTCACACTCGAATAACTGTCTTCTCTAAAAAATTTATAATACGCTTCATATTAAATTTTTTATAATAAACTAAATCAAATATATTTTCTCAAGTACTTAGATGAAAAAGAGAGAGATTCGAGTCTTCGATTCACTCTCCCAATTACTTGGGCCCGATGAGCCTTTCTTAAGTTTTAAGTAATTGTCATTCGCTTAAAATATTTAAACTATATCAAAACCACAACTAAGGTTGAAAGAGAGAGAGAGAGAGAGAGAGTCGAGTCTTCGATTCACTCTTCCGATTATTTCTTCCTGAGGAGCCTTTCTTAAGTATTCAAATAATTATCATTCAAATAAACAAATCAACGCGTTAAATCAACTTCTCGCCTTCATACGATAAAAACTCTTTCTTAAAAGGACATGTTATGTGCGTTCTACCGCAAACAGGTAATGCCTAAGACTCCACGAGCGAGCTGCAATACACCTAACTTCTAGAATGCACATGTTAGCATCGTCCATAAAAGACCAACAAACCATAAGCCGAACTACGGCTGCTCTGATTTCTCAAACATGTTGAGAATACGTAGGCATAGGATTGTGAGATCCTAGCGAGCAAACTTCCTATTTTTCCACCGTAGTCCTCCGAACTACAGATGCTCTGATTCTTCACTTCTTACAAGTGAAGATACATAGGCACAAGGGCCCCAATCTAAATCTTTTTACCTTACCTTTAGCATCATTTCCTTAGAAGAAAACAAACAATATTAGCTAATTTATCACGAATCGAATTAAGAGGTTCTCGTTGAGTATAACGGACGTGAATGTAACACCCTTTTTCTACCCCACAATTATTATGGCAAAATAACACATATATCAGATTAAATTATTAAATTCAATAATAGCCACCACAAAAGAGCGTACATTTCTCAAATCCTCAAAATAGGTCAAGGTTCCGTAAACAACTGAGTTTTCCCCAAAGTACATCAAATTGCACAAAGCAGCGGAACTCAAAACGCATAAATCAAGGTTTTCCTCATACAGAAAGATAATCAAAATAAACTCAAATAAAATATAGTTTAACTCAAAAGAACCCAACCCGATGTTACATATCAGAGCAAGACCCTCTAAGTTAACCAAAAAGGCTAACAACTCAAAACTTCATAAATAATCCTCGACGGCGTTGTCGTACCTAAAAAAAGCACGATCATTCGCGAATGGTCGCGGAAAACACAGAGTCGCCACTGAACTTTATTTATTGATAAAACCTTTAGGGAAAGAACATGATCATCGCAACCAAGTTATAGGTTCGGGAGTCGGTTACATTAGGGGAAGGTATTAGCACCCCTCACGTCTGTTGTACTCAACGGAAACCTCTTGATTCGATTCGTAAGAAATGTTAGTCTAGTTTGTTTGTGTTATTCCAAAATAAAAGGTGTAAAGGTAATGTAGAAGGGTTTAGACTGTTAAGGAGAAATGGGTGGTTTTTAAAAAAAGAGTGCTCGCCAAGGATTGCCGACCACCCACTTTTTCCTTAAAATTAAACAATTTTAACAACGCAGACAGTCATGTAAAACTTATGCATCCCTTATATAAAGGTGCATCCTTATCATTACATAAAATATAATAAATATGGACTTTCATAAAAAACGATTCTCCAATATCACGAATCACGTCTTCTAATTAATTATCCATATCTTCATCAACTCCTTACATGTGTGACGCCGCATTTCAATTTTTATCCACTTTTCCATGCCACACCCATGTTGTATAATTTTGACATATTCCATCAAAACATAGGTGATTTAATATTTCCTCCTTTGAATATTTTTGATATTTCTACAATTAACACAAGGACAATAAAATATATAATTATTGCTGAGAAGATTTTGTTCTGCGAATTTAAAAAATTCAAGAACTCCTTTCTCATACACTGACCTAATCTATTAACTTTCATCCAACTATGATTCATGTCAAAATTTGAAATTTATATCAAAAGACTAATGTGAATGGCACACTAATGCCACACAACATACTAATATGGTTATATGCATACTAATATATTCATCACAATAATATAACAATTATTAACACCAAAACATAAAACATATTCATAATTGCAAATACAATTCATGACATCAATCAACAACCCAACAATTTCATTTGTAACACCAAAACCTAAAGCATATTCATAATCACATTTCTTTCTTCATTTAAAATATAGTTTATTTTTATACAATGCAAACATCTAAAATTTACTTTACTCACAGAGTGGGCAACATGACATATCATATAGCCTTGTAACAACAAAAATATCACAAAATTTGAATAAAACCAAAACAAAAAGTAATTCAATTGCAACAAAACGAAAATTCACACCGCATTAAGAAAAACCTCACCACATCGCAAGAGAGACCAAGAAACGAATAATAAACACAGAAATGTAGCATACCGTACTTCGAAGAGGAGGAAGAAACCAAGAAATGATTTATGTTTCAAGAAATGAATGAAGATAGTAAAGATTAGAAATGAATGAAGATGGTGAAGATGAGATTTCGCTATCATTGTCAACTAGTTCGTTATGGCATGTGTTATGAAGGAGATAAAGAATATGTTATGTTTTAATTTCGCAAGAAAAAACTTCACCACGGTTGCAAATATCAGCCGTAGTGAAATATGACACATATAACCATGTTTGATAAAAACAACTCTAGTTAATTTTTTTTTTCAATTTTTATTTAACAATATAAGTTAAGAGACATATGTTTTTTTCATTAAAAAAAATAGAAAAATGTGATACTGGAATTTGAAACTTCTAACCCTTAATCTATCACCACGATTGTTATTATAAATCATGGTGAAAAGTCTTTTAATAAAATAAAAAAGATTTAATACTCTTTTTAGTTAGTATCTTAACCTCGATGTTCATTTTCTTCTAATTAGAAACACATTTAGTTATCAATTTTTAAGATTTTTTGTCGCTAATAAGACAAAAAAGACTAATATAGAACGTTTTGAAGAATTAATGAATTAATACAAACCTTTTTTAAATTAAAGGGACCGAAATGAACTATAAGGTTTAGATACAAGACTAAAAAAAAATATTAAGCCAATACAAAAATTAGGAGCGTAAAAATGAGATATTACCACAATTGAGAAAATGAAAATGACCGTAGTAATAGTGTTATCAAAATTATATTTTTTTATACTAATATCATAATGCAAGTGTCAGGAGCATAAACACAAATACTGTAATATAAAAAAATATATATATATTTTTTATTTCCTATTTTTTTTTTAAATTCAATTTATTTTTTTGTTTTAATTAAATAGTCTAATATTTGAAATTCATTTTTTGAAGATGAACAAACAAAACATTGCAAGTTCAATTCTACGCCCATACATTTGCCAACTGGTCTGACTATTTAATGTTTTTTAGGTTTTTTTTTTCTATAAATTTATTCAAGTGACACTTCATGACGTGGCTAAGACAAAAAATTATGTGTGTGTCACACAATTTCTACGAAGTCACGATTTTAAAATAAAAACATCATCTACCACATCATCTACCTCAAACAAACCCATTTTCTGTCTTTTCTGCCAAACATAAACTTTGTTCTTCCAACAAACATCAAATCAAACCATAGTTAAGTTCAACTAAAAAAACTAGATTACATCTTACTATTATCCTTTTTCTTCCTATATATGCAATACTTTCTCTATCCGTGACTTGCAAGAGATTCAAAGCTATAACTTCATCTTACGCTACGCAAGTCTTGTAACTCCAATCATCATGCTCATCAATTTTCATATAAAACTCTACAAACAAGTATATATATAACTTCCAGATTTCAAGTAATGCAGTAAGTTAATTGGAATAGTTTATAAGCTTCTTCTTACATCTAAAGCAATATCTTCTATTTGTTTTTCAAGAAGCAAAGTAAATGCATGAAATAAACAACTCTATATCCAAAACAGAAAGGTACTCACATATAGATTACAAACATAATAATGCAGTGAAAAACATGCTACTACTGCAGTAGCACCATGAGTTTGGTAAAGAAAGTTTAAAACTGAAATACTGTTTTAAGATGATGGTGGTGGTGGTTGTTGATTCCTCAGAACACTAAGGAGTAGTTGTCTCAACTCTTCATCTCTCTTCTCGCTCAAAGCCATTAACCGTAATATCTCTTCCTGTTGTCTTGCAAGACGCGCGAGTTCCTCTTGATTCTTCAAGTTTTGCGATTTTAAATAAACAATAACTTCATCATTATCTTTTTTTTCAACTGTTTCTTTAGCTTCTGTTTGAGCAGCCGTATCAGAGTGAAACCAAAAGTCTTGTTGCGCAACAGTTTCATCGTTGTACGAAAGGACTTTTTTTCTGATAGAAAACCTTTTGCTCTCATTTTCATCTTCAAAATCTTCCTCCAAATCACCTATTGAAAGTTCAATGTTATCATTTGTAATTGTCCTTTTCAGTGGCAATATCTGTTCAGAATCTCCCAAAGAGGCTGAAGAACATTGACCGATTAAATGGTCAGACTCGTGAATTTTGCCACCACACTTGTACTCTTTCAACACAGGCTTACAATCCTCAGCAGATACGGAAGGACTGTCAATATTTTCATCGGATTTCACACAATCACGGGTAGAATTTTCCGAAGCAGGCTCATAACAAAATTTTCCAAAATTAAGACAGTCCACAAGATTCGGAGGAAATCCAGGAGGAACACCAACTTCATTTGAACTTCTGATAAGTTTTCCGAGACAAGGTCTATGTTTTCTTGAACTTGAACTTCTCTTCTTCTGCACAATTTTCTTGATAAAATCGCCGTGACTCAATACCGATTCCTTCCACCACCTTGCATAACGCATGGTAACATCTGCCTCAAAAAACCTTGGTGGAAAATACAAATTTTTATCAATTATGAGCCTGCGGTAGTTTTTCCAAGAAACCTCTTTAGTCTCATTCAATCTCAACACATAACTTGGAATGTCTTGATCTACTCCAAATTGCATAGCAACTCTATGTGGCAGATACTGCTCTATAGAGTCAAATCCAACAAGCCCTGAAACTCTCAAGCATATAGCAAATGAGAGCATTGCTTTGTCCAACTCTTTCGAAAACGGAACCCAAGTTTCATCATCTGGATAAAACATTCCACACTTATCAGCATATTTACCATATGGACGCCAAAGAAAATCATCGACAGCGGAGTCCAATGCCAACTTAACATCGTCAATTTTCAAGGCCTGAACCTTATGCCACCTCAACAATAAAGGATCTTCATGGTTGATCAACATGGGTTGTGGTTGTAAGTTTTTGAACCTCTCCCACACCCAAATTTGAACCAAGTAAAAAGGTGATTGAAAAGTAACTTCTAAAGGAAAACTATCACCTCTAGCAACATGTTTCGACAAATCAACAATTGTTTTCTTAAACAAAGTTAAATCCTTATATATGCCAGCTAAGACCGCCGGTGCCAACGCAATCGGATTCCCTCTAGCAAGATGAATAGCAATAGGAAACAAAGATTGATTCACTAAATTACTGTGAGGTAAAACAAAAATTGACAACCAAGTAACAAGAAACGCTTCATGTTCAATTTCACTACCTGCATCAAGGAACATATCCATCCAAATTGTTGTGGTAGCCTTAGATTTTCTAGTCTGCCAAGGTTTCTGCCTTGCACGTATCAGTTTCTTCTCCACCTCTCTCATTTCTTGGTCTTCAACTTTGGCAAAAACCGGAAGACCGATGATAGGGTAACCTCCCAAAACCATGACATCCTCCAAAGTGATCGTTGCCTCACCAAATGAAAACACAAATGTATTTGTCTCACAACACCATTTCTCCACAACCCCATGCAGCAAGTTTTGATTTTTATGCATGTAGCATTTAGAGCTCATTATAGCTTCAAAGATTCCAGCTTTCTTCCACACTGATTCATACAATGGTTTAAGCTCATCAACCCAGTAACACCATTTATCTGGTGGTAAGCGCCACCCACTGAAATGGAATTTCAAAGGCCATTCCTTTGGATCAAACACAGAACAAGTTGATGATGGGGTAAAATCAAAAGGTGGCTCAGCAATGGAGTTTGAAATTGGTTTTAGAAAATGGGCTGTTCTGAAAGTTGGTTCACTGTCACCAGCTGGTGAAACCATGAAATCTTCCCTCACCTCCATGATAGTATCTTCATTCATGACAATAATCTTCAAAAAGCTCAAGTCTTTGATGAAAAATTGTGATGGGGTTGAAGCTAAACTCACAAGAATGCGCAGTTTTTTTTTCTTCTTTTGAGAAATGGTTGTTTGTGATTGTAAATTGCAATGGCTAAGTGGTAGAGCAGCATATTGTGGGTAACTTCCAAAGAGTATCCTTGCACAAGAAGAGAGTATGGAAAACATGTGAAAACCCTAAATTACCCTTTTTTTTATTTTAAATTTTGAATTAAATATGTTTTATCCTTTAAATTTTTAATCTCTTCCTCCCTCCGATCTTTTTAAAAGAAACATTTTACATTTTTATATTTATTTAATTATTAATGTATTTGATCTATAATACTGATCAAATATATTAATTATTCAATAAATTTAAAAATATGAAGTGTCTTTTATAAAAAAAAATTAGATAGAATAATTTTCTTTAAAGAATCTTCCTCCTAATATTTACCATCTACATTTTGATACCTCATGTCAACACTCATTAAGAGAAGTTGACGTGTGTTGCGGTGGAAATAGGATAACAAACTATTAATTAGTTTGAATCACAATTCTTGATTCACAACCGTTCTTTGATTTATCCGAAGGAAAATGTCAAAAGAGGGAAAACCTATTTTTGCATCGTAAACACAATGCGGGGAGAGACCTAGATAAGGGGTTGGTTAAGTTTAGGGAAGGTACTAGCACCCTAAACTTCTGTAGTACTCTACAGGAACCTTTTGTTTAAAGTATGCTTTTTATTTTATTTTATTATCTGCTTTAATATATATTGAGCTAAGGGATAGAGTGACCTAAAAGACCTAAGGGTTAGTCCTAAGTTTACTCGACAAGACGTCGCATCTTGTGCCTACGTATCCTGGATAGGGAATGGAATCAGAGTAATCGTAGTTCCCCTCGAAAGGGAGGTTAGAAACGTCTTGACTATGGTCAAGGTTTCAAGGGGAGTAAACGTATCTTAAGGACACGCTTACGTGGAGTCTTGAAACTCCTATTTCTATGTTGAAAAGTTGAATTAAAATTACGGTTGAAATTAGGGATTCCACGGCGGGAAACCCTAAAAACAGAGTACGGCGACTCTTTGACCTAACGCTAGGGTAAAGGGCATTTTCGTCCACGGCGGGACCTAGGCTATTAGGGTTTTGAAACGGTAAAAAATTAGGGTTATTGACTCGGCGGTCAAACTGCTAATCCTAATTCCTTCGGAGGGAAAATTAACGGTAAAACATGCAAACATGGAAAAATATTATATGGCAGAAATTAAAGTGCGAAAAGTAAAGAAAGTGTCGCGACGATCACTCGCGTAAATTACAAACCCCAAAAAAAGGAAAATAAAATAAAACCGCGACCATGGCCTCGCGTAAATTACATCCATGGACCAACATAAATTGAATAAACTAATCAGAATTTAAGTATAGTCTGAGGAGAAAAACAGAGAACATTTGTGAGAAGGGTTAGACAGAAATATGGCAAAAAATGAAACAGTTAGTATTGAAAGAAAGACAAACTGCAATTTGGAATTTTTATTATTGTTTTATTAGTTTTGAAAAAGGATTTTAGTTTTAATTTTGAAGAAAAGAATTTTAATCTTAGTTTAAAAAAGGTTTATTTTAATTTTTAAAAATTTGTATTAGTTTTAAATTTTAACAAAACTCTAATTTTAATATTTTAGAAAAAACAAAATTTAATTATTATTTTGTGAGGAAGAAAGTTTTAACTTTAATTTTTTAAAAAACGTTTATCAATTTTAAAAAAAAGTTTTATACTTAAAAAAAACAAAGTTTTAATTTGTATTTAAAAGAAAAGGTTTTTATTTTATTATCTAAAAAAGTTTTTATTTTAGAAAAGTTTTTAAGAAAAAGTTTTTAATTTGTTTTATAAAAGTAGAACTTTCACTTATTTTTAAAAACAGAATTTTCAATTAAAAATAAATGTACTAATAAAACAATAAAAGGGAAAACAAAAATTGGGTTGAGTTATGGTTACTGCTGCATGCGGCGCCGCTGCCATTGTTGCCTGTTGAAGCTTTTTCTTCTTCTTTGCATGGCCACGATCCCTTCTTCTTTTCCTGCAAAAAAAAAATATCAAAAGAAAACATCTGTTAGAAACAAGAGTTACTCATCTTTCACGGGTTTGAAGTGGCTTTTCTATGATGGAGTTCGTTGATGATGAACGATGATGTTTTTTTTCAAAAATCTCTCCTCTTCTGATAAGTCGTGAGAACGGCCGCCGTTTTTCTTTTTTGTCTCCTTCCCCTTTCTCAAATGTAACTCATGTTTATATAGGTAACAAATTAGGGTTAACTCTAACCTAATGCCCACTTTAAAGCTCAACTTAAATAATTAGTCAAAACTAAATACAATTTAAACAAATTAAAAGAAACTTAAAACCCTATTTATTTACTAAACATTAAAAATATTATAAAAAGAATAAAATCTTTTCTAATATTTTTAATATTATGATTTTTGGATATTTTTATGAATAATATGGAAAAAAGTGAAAAAAAATTGTTTTTGTTATATTTTTTTTATGAAAATAGAAAAGTTAGGATAAAAATAAAAGAAGCAAAACAAAAAGTGAAGAAGGTGGGATTCGAGCTCTCGACCTCTCACACTCACAACTCCTTACACACGGTCTCTTGCCAATTGTGCTATTTTATTCATTCGAAATAAAGTGGCACTAGAAACCCTGTAAACTAAAAGAGCGCCACATGATATTTTCTTGCAACAATCAAACAACTGCATAACCCGTTAGTGGTTAGTTTAAACGCAATGCAAAATGAAATGGGATGCAAGATGAAACGACTAATCTTAGGGCAAAATTTGGGGTATTACAGTTGCCCTTATTTAAATAGCTTCACTGGATGATTTGAGCGACGAAGGCTCGAGAAATCATGGTGGAGGGATTTAAATATAGATAACCGAAAATTTTGCCCTTAGATGCAGTGATATGCAATGCTATGGACAAAACGGAAATAAATTATAATGCTGACAATGCCATGAATCTAATATGATGCGTATGATGGAATGAAGAATGCAAAGATGCAGACGACACGACGACATAGGGGACAGACACGACGAACGAACCACACTGGGGAATACGACGCACTGGGGAATTCTAAAGGGATAGTCAACTGGTGCTAACACGACTAATTGTTACTTTTAGACAAGGAAATAGTAGAATGGGATCCTCAATGGAGATGGCACCGGTGAGACGGCCTCCGCTGGGGAATATGTAAGAGTAACTGCTCAACAGGTTCAGGAGTGACTAGCTGATACTCTATGGTAAAAGATAAAAATGGATCTGCATGATTGTAGGATCAATTAACAAGATGCTGGAGAATTGAGCAAAGAATAACATCCGCGCTTCTGGAAACTCTCCCTCGTAATAGGATCAGACAAAATTTTCGAAAATCCGTAGAAAATATACAGGGTAAAATCGGCTGTATGCCAAAATAAAATGGTCTTTAATGGGAAATGCCCTGATAAGCTTTCTCGAGAGAGAGAAAACTGCCACTTATCGTTGGAAGGGGCTTACATGCCAAACTGGATAAAAGATTGATTGATAAAATAAACTTCTCCACATCTCAGGTCAGTGCTCCCTGGACATGATTTAGTTTCTTCTTTTGCTAAAGGATAAAATAAACTTCTTCATACTTCAAGATCTGTGCTCTCCTGAATATGATTCAGCTTCTTCTTTTACTAAAGGGTAAAACGAACTTCTTCATAATTCAAGATTTGTGCTCTCTTGAATATGATTCGGTTCAAACCTCCCCGCACTTCAAGATGACAAGGAAAATGGAAGCCCAACTGCTCGATGGAGATGGTCGTTTGCTGCAAGTCATAACGAAGATAGGATAAACTCCTCAGGCGAGAAATACCACTTTGATAGGCTTCTCAGGTGAGAACTGCCTGTAGAGGTGGTAACAGGTAATTTAAATTGTAAATGAAAGTTGTAATGAAGGTTGTAATGAAAGAACAATGTAAATTGTAATGAAGGTTGTAATGAAAGAACAGTGTAAATTGTAATGAAGGTTGTAATGAAAGAACAGTGTAAATTGTAATGAAGGTTGTACTAAAATAATGAGTTCCTTGTACGAGAAGATCAATTGTAGAGTGCAATGAAAAATTGTAATGAAAGCTGTAATGAAGGTGATATAATGGTGATAGGCTTCTCTGATGAGAACAGTCGCATACCGGTTGTTGTAAGATGTATTGTAATGTCGAACAAGACTCCATTAAGGAAATGAACTCAAATGGGGATTATCTTATCCTGTCATGGAAAGATAACGGAAATAACCATCATCCACGAGGGTTGAACTCTATGGGGAAACTTGGAACAAACAAGTATTTTATGCTTAGGGCTGACGATCTACTTGGAGAGAGCGGAAAAACCCATTTACTCGGAGGTAACGATAAAGGATGACGATAAATAGCAAGCATGCACATGCTAATGCGTATGTCAATATGTATGTGAATGTGTATGTTAACGTGTATGAAAATGTCATGCGATGAGCAATGCAATGCTTAGGCTCATGCATATGCTGACAAAACAGATGAGAGAGGAGACATGAGATGAAATAAACATCTCAACAGGAGTACCCTAGCGACCTCTGCAACAATACATCCATCGGGATATAGGAAAAGTTGATGGTAGAACCAAATCCTATTTCAAAGTTATAACTTCCCTGAGGAGAAAATCTCATGACTTCCACATGGGGATATGACACGACTTCACTGGAGAGTACGATATCATGACTTCAACTGGGGATCCTTGATCTCCGCATGGGGATAAGATGTCATGATTTCACGTGAGGGATTGCTATCATGAACCATAATCATCCCAAAGAACTCTTAGGATCAGAGACTTCCGGGGATAAAATAAATATTCGTTGTATGGGGAAGGTGTGGAATTAGGCAGCTTCATAGAGATAGCGTAACAACTTCCTGGGAATAATACCTTGGCTTCCTGGGGAAAGGTACGTC